CTTGTCTGGCGTGGGGCTGTGTCTGATTGCTCCACAGAAGTGGCGCTTCAGGCGCAAGAGCGGGAGCTTGGGAGAAGTGTGGAGGCGGAGGCGCTAAAAGACCGGCGGTTGAAGGTATCTCTGATGACCAAGGCGGGGTAGGAAAGGTGTCTGCAAGGCCCAAGTGGCCAGCACGCCCGAAGATGCCAGCATTCTGGATGGACTGTGCTGCAAGGGATGAGGACGAGGGTGTCGATGCTGCGGACAACGACTCAGAGGTAGGATGAACAACTCGATCTCCGGTCCGTGGCCGCGTCTGGAGAGAAGATGTCGGGGTAGACTGTGATGGCAACGGGCTCAGGCCACCTTCGCCTTCGCAAGACGGCTGCATCGGTAGCAGCTACTGGCCCAAATGGCAGTCAGGCCCAAACACAGAAAGGCTCAGCGCGTATCGACCATGGCACGAGAAGCGCTCTTGAACGACAGAGAGATGGTGCGGCAGCGTGGTGGTCTGCGAGAGCGTGTATGCAGCGCCGGCGACACCAGAAGGGAGCGTAGAAGGGGGGGAAGAGGCAGGCAGCACCGTAGCGTAGGCACGCGATGGGTGTGTTGCAAGTTCAGTACTGCTTCCGCACGCATGAGCCAAAATGCACACTTGGTCCTCAGGAACACCAAACAATAATATGAATATATCAATAAATAATGATAAATCAATATTGCCTACGACGTGGAGGTCCGCGCGGTCCGAGCTCGACTTTGCCGACAGAAGCCCAAGAAACAGTACAGCAGTAGTGTGGAAATAGGCAAGTACAGTACTGTGCGGCACAAGCGCATTGCTGGCCATGCAACGGAGTGACCAGCTGCCCACCTTGCCGCCCTTTCTTCACGCTTCTAGCTCAGGTCGGATCGGATATTGGAACTGTGCGCTCGACTCTCGACTTCGGCTGCCACCAAATTGGACAAGCTCCTAGACGGAGCCTGTTCCCCAAGGTGTTACTAACTTCGCCGTGCGAGAACGCTTCAGGCAACGCAATGCCGTAGCACCTTTTATGCGTTGCAAAGCTCCAGGGTGACCATAGAGGCCGATTTGACTCGGCTAGTCCGGCCAGCGAAGCACTTCACATCTTGGCCACAAGGTGTGTGACGTTGCTCTTGGACGGCCCAGCGTCCGAATGTCACATCATACCCGAGTGGGTGATGAAGGCGCGACAGGAATGACACAACGAGAAAAATTGCAGAAAAGTCTAAAAGTACACAGAGACGGAATGGTGATGCGCTGACTGTGCGATGTCTCTTGCAGCTTCGACCTTGTGCCAACAGCGCCAATCAAAGCGATATGACGCTGCCACACCCAGTCCGCCAATTGGGCAGAAGCACATGAGCGAACGCACCGAGACACGCGAAATGTCTCGAAGTCCAATCTAGAAGTTGAGACGCATGTGAAGGGCGTCTTCGCCATCGGCGTAGTAGCCTTTCTCGACGCCATGCACCTCGAAGCCGAGCGTATCACGATACAGGCCAATAGCAGCACGGTTGGTTTGGCGCACGTGCAAGGACACAAATTTGGCTCCGAACACATCTCTCATCGCTTCCTCTACAGATCGCAAAGGGTCCGACAAGAGGTTCAAACCAGCAGAAGCAGGACAAGCATGTCAGTAAGCTGTCTGTATAGACTCATCTTGTCAAACAGTACGAAAGAAAATCACGTCACGTCCCGATACCTGAGTTTTGGCCAAAAGGAAAGGAGAAGGAGAAGGGGGGAGAGGGGGAAGGGGAAGGGGTGAGAGGGGGACCCCGTACGATCTCGAGAAAGATCGAGGCGAAAAGGTCCTAGGCTGATGCTAAAGACTATCACTTACGGCTTTGTTTCATCAGTTTGTTGGCGAGACCTAGGCGTCGATACGATCGTAGAACACTGATACTGGTGACGTGCCCATGAGGAATACCGTCCGCTGGCTCCTCCTCCATCTTTCCCAGAATGTAGCCAACAATGCGACCTTTCTCGTCTTCGGCTACATACGAGAGCTGTGGCCAGGTAAGTGCATGGTAGAGGTAGTATCGTAACGTGTAGTTTTCGGGCAGATTGTGCAGGTTGCAGTTCTGCATGCCAAGCAGATCATCCATCTGTGAGAACGTTGACCGGGATTGTCGCAGTGGGGCGCAGAAAGCCGGCTTAAGGTGTCAGTTTCGCGGCCAACGCCAACTTTCGAGAAGAGCAGCTGTCCAGAAGCGAGAGCAAGTCCCAACTTACAGTCGCTTCGCGGATGTTCATCTTGGAGATGTGACTGCGCACGTATGACGAGACAAGTCGCTCGGCGCAGTGGTGTGACGATGTGAGGAGAAACGTCTAGGTAATTTTGAAAGATGGTGTGAGTCTTGGCTTCCTCCCTTGTGGAGTAGTTGCCAGATTTCTTCTTACCGCGCGAGAGTAGGTATCATAAAATCTCAGCGTCGCGCTTGCAACATTCAAGAGACACCGCCCGTCTATTGCCTCATGTACCACTTTACCGTAATACTAGTACTGTGTCCCGAAATGCTTGCTCTGCAGACACAATCCGCCTGTTACTGCATTTGGCCTCATCTACGCCGCTAGCTTCAGAGAGTGGTATTGGTTAGAAAGGGTAGAACCTCTAATGAGACTCTGCAACTGATGAAGAAGCTGTGCGTGGCGAGGCTGCGTAGTACCAGTGCTGCAGCGATGAAACACCCAGTCGTGTCTTCAGTGCCCTCGTCGTCCTTTTTTTTTTTTTTTTTTTTTTTTTTTTTTTTTTTAAATATATTGACTGAATACGCGAGGGCTAAAACGAAAAATAACACACATACACACAAACCGCGTAAAAAGGGAGACACACACGCAGCTTTGATCTTGACGCAAGCATACACCCCAACACAAAGCACGGCAGTGAACCGGACTACATACAACCCGTGTCGCCTGCAGGTGAGTCTGCACGATAGGCACGTAGGGTCGACGTGTGATGACCCGTTCACCCAAGCGTTCTGCCCCTGTTCAGCAGGTCTGGTGCTTCTGCCACTTTTTTGGAATTGCGTACAAACATTCACCGAGACGACCAGGCCCCTCTCTGTTTCGCACCGCCCGGCCCTGCGTCCACAATAATCAAAAGGCTTGGCCGTCTGAAGAATCTGCACTGCGTTGCCTGTCTGCCTGCGTGGCGGATTGCACCTGCGCCTGTGCAGTACCATCTCTTCCTGTTTCCGTCGGTCCACGCCCGCCTCGAGTTCTCCACTGCGTGTGGCCCGCCTTCATCTTTCTCATCCCACGACATCCTTCCAGCGTGTTCACAATTCGTACTGCCCTTCCCTCAGTCCAACTCCCGTTTTCGATTACTGTCTCTGGCATTGCCTCTAGGCTGCTCTTCACACTTTCTTTCCTTTGTCACTTGCTGACCATCGCCTTCCCTTGATTCGGCTACAAAGTCTGATTGCCGCTCGACCCATCACATCATAGAGACAATTGCACCGCTGCTTCCCGCACTGTCACCCGCGTCATTCGAATCAACTCGGCACTACCCTGCGGCACGCTTCATAGCCAACATAGAGCAGCTCTTTTCCGTGTCATCTCCTCTTTCTTCTTTCTCGACTCACCTCTCTTGGCTCACAGTCTTGTGACGGATGTTCCGAAAACACGACAAGGAAACCGCCAAGGGAAGCAGTAAGAAGGAATCCAAGAAAGACACAAAGATGTCGGCAGCAGCGACATCCGCAAAGAGCGGCAGGCCTGGTCACCTGGACGCCGCGCAACAGGATGCTCTCGACAAGTTCCGCGCCTCGATCCAGGACAAGGGCCTTTACAACCCCGAGCGTCACGACGACGCCTGTCTCTGCCGCTTCCTCCGCGCCCGCAAATGGGATCTCGCCGCCACCGAAGCTATGTTCACGGAAGCCGAAAAGTGGCGCACGGAGTTCAAGGTCGACGAGCTGTACGAGTCGTTCGAGTATCCCGAGAAGAAGGAGGTGGACGCCTACTATCCGCAATACTACCACAAGACTGACAAGGACGGTCGTCCCATCTACATCGAGCAGCTCGGCAATCTCGATCTCAAGGCGCTTTACAACGTCACGACTCCCGAACGGCAGATTCAGAAGCTGGTGGTCGAGTACGAAAAGTTCCAGCGAGAGCGTCTGCCGGTCTGCACCGCCCACAAGGGCGAGCTTGTCGAGACCTCTTGCACCATTATGGACCTCAAGAGCGTCGGGATCTCGCAATTCTGGAAAGTCTCGACCTACGTTCAGCAGGCTTCAAACATTGGCCAGCACTACTATCCCGAGACCATGGGCAAGTTCTACATTATCAACTCGCCTTACATCTTCACCACAGTCTGGAGCGTGATCAAGGGCTGGCTGGACCCCGTCACGGTCGAAAAGATCAAGATTCTCGGCGGCGGATATCAAAAGGAGCTTCTCGAGCAGATCCCTGCCGAGAACCTGCCCAAGAGCCTCGGCGGCACCTGCAATTGTGAAGGCGGATGCTCTCTCTCTGACGCAGGCCCTTGGAACACTGATGATGGTCGCAAGATTATCGAACAGGTCCGCGAGGAGGAGAAGGAGAAGAAGCAGCGCCACGAGAAGGAGACCTCCGAGGCGGCACCGGCTGCCGCCGCGCCGGCCGCCAACGGCACTGCCATCGCCTAGAACCCTTGAACATGACCGCATTCTCGGTGAGATTCCGCATCGCGTGTTTCCTACCTTGTGTCGGATAGACTATCTTTCCTTCTTTGGCCAACCAGCTTGGTGCTGCCCCCTGTTCATTCTTTAGCGCATCGATCTCCGACGCACAGTTCCCCTCTTTTCTGGCAGACATTTTCACTGTAGTCCACTTGTCTATACCTCTTTCCCATTCGTCGTCGAATCCACTTTCATTCAGCAGCCTTTCAAAGCTTGAACGAAGATTGCCCTGAGTATGCGACTTTGACACTTTCTTCAAATGTGATAATGCAACTTGTATTCCAGATCTGTCTCACTTTTATAATAGCGTGCTCTATTGCCCAGCTTCATAGGTGTACGACTCCATAGCTCAGTTGGTTAGAGCGTAGCACTGTTATTCAGATATCCTTCTCCGATGCAATGTTGGGGATGCTGAGGTCGGCGGTTCGAGCCCGCCTGGGGTCGCGTTTTTTTCATAATGTTCTTTTTAATATTTTATTCAAGTAGTCTTTGCCTATGATGTGTGCGCTTGTTGTCATCTGACGCTCGACTGTTACGCTGTGAGATGTACATATTTGCAAGCCGAAAGAATGGTCATCAGTAGTGCCATGGAACCAGTTTTTGTTGTGGACAGGAATACACAGCAAGAAAATTGAGGACTGCAGACAGGAGGTTGTCGAGAAATTCTATATATTGTTTTGTCATAGCAGTGGAGTACACGCGCTGCGGATCAAGATGGCGAAAAGAGCGTGGGTTGGTTCGTCAAGTGAATGTAAGTGGAACGCTGAAAGAAGATGCTGAAGAAGATAGACGGCGGGTGGAGATAAGCAGTGGAATCTGAGAGAGACAATGAATCGGGAGTCAAGGCGGTGAATGAATCTTGCGGGGGATATCAAATGATGAGAGCGATATATGGGAGACTGGGAATCGAGACTTCGGAACACATCAAGAATGAAAGGAAGGGGAGGAAACCAGAATGGGCCGCATGTTGGACGGATACACCGGCTTGGCCCTTGATGCGACACAGTTAGAGGAGGGAAAAGGCGCAAATCGGGATGGCGACCAAGGAACTCTAAGATGTCGAGACAGTAAGAAATAATAATGAAAACATATCGCAGATGTGTAGCGTACACATTTCAGTGACACTTTTTGAGATGATACAAACAGAAAAGAGAAGGAGCACAGATTTAGCCCAGAGACGGCGAGAGGCCAAGGCTACATCGAAGGATCAGGTGTGAGGGGCTACAAGCCCGCTGGCTTATGTCTGCCCGACCTGAGCTTGGACGAAGTCTTTGGCCATACTTTCAAAGTCCCTCGCTAGCTGCTGTCGCACGCGTAGCTTGTCTGGTTTGGAACGTAGATCAGGGTCGGAGACTAGAAGCAGCTTTTTGACACGAGTGATGAGTCCTCGCGGGCCCTCGAGCGGAATGTCGAGAAAGTCGTAGCGCTGAATGCAGCGTTCAAACTTAAAAAATTCGTCTTCGTCAAGCTCGTTTTGGAAGCGAATGTAGAGACGACGCTCAAACGTGATCTGTTCCGAATTGCTCTTGGTGGATACTGGCGAAGCTATGGAGGCTGTCGAGGGGCTCGAAGCCGGGCTGGCTTGCATGCGCGGCGCGTCCAGTCCCATCGGTGCCGAATGTGAAACCTTCTGAGTTACAGACATCAGACGATGCGAGGCGGCCATGATGTGCTCGTTGCTCGATGGCACCGTTGCCGACGCTAGTGGCTCGTTGAAGAGAACTGGCGAGGTGTCGGTTGAGTGCGCCTTGTACGTCTTCTGATCGCAAAACACGTCCTCGACCGCTACAGGAATGGCATCATGGACACTGCCCGCACGGCTTCGGCTACGCACACCGGATTGAGTACTGAGGCGCGACGCTGCTCGGCTCGCAGCCCTGCTAGGAGGTCGCGAATTTGGCATTGGCGCTCCCGTGGCTGATGCCGTGTTGCCGTTAGCAAGAAGAGCATTTCGCTGCTGGTGCGACTGCTGCTGCTGGGCACTGAAGGAGGAGCGCATCGCTTCACGTCGCTTCTCAACGTACTCTTGCAGATACTCGGAGCTGCTCGCGGCGCCTCTGTCCACTGGGCTAGTATTGTGACTTTTCGGCTTGCCAGGCACCGATGCTGCGGCCACGACACCCGAAGCAGTCAGCGCACCCTTCACTATTTGTGCCAGACTGAGGCTCTGGCCTTGGTCACCCGATACGGTGCTGCGACGCTTACTCTGCAGAGCAGACTTGGTTGCGCTCGTCCTAGCAGCAATGTCAGCCGCGACGGTACTTCCGTTGGCTTCCATGACAGTTCCGTGGAAGCGTTGCGCTGAAGCCGGGCGTGCAATAGAAGCAGCTTCAAGCGCTTCTTGCTGAGCAAGGGCCTGCGTTGTCAGTGCATGATACGTTGCCGTGACATTGCTTGCGCTTGAGCCTGTTCGCGAGGCCGCTAAACCGAAGGCTCCCACCGTGCCTGCGCGCTGTTGCGGTACCTGGCTGTCGACCTGAACAGTTCGATTTCCAAGGCGCGAGTTCCGTCCCTCGCCGTAGAAGGCGCCCAAGTCCCGGTTGTTCGCGTCTGTGTTGATGATTTCAGCCAAGCTGGCACTGTCTCTGCGGCTCGTACCGGACCACGCAAATGGTGCTGTGGATATGGCGGTAGAATGGCTTGTGTCGCGCACTGTACTCGAATGCGAGCGCTGACGGGACTGTGCATCGGACAATTGTGTGAGAGTGGAGCTGGTCGAGAGCGGTGGCAGGCCTGACACGGATGCAAAGCCCGGCATCGTTGTCGCAGATTGCCGTAGCTCGGTACGATCCTCAAATTGCAGATTCGACGAGCAGTAGGGAGTAGAGCGGGCATCGGGCGAGTTGCCCGCGCCCTTCTCCACCGAGGAAGGAGCCGAGGGAACGGAAAGATGATCCAAAGCCAGAGCCTCTGCCGCACGGTACTGAGCGCCGAGGTTGCCTCCAGAATGACTCCTCTGGGACAGACAGTCCTCCAACGAGGTCATGCGCCCCTCGAGCTGGTTTCGAGTCGTAACTTCCTGACGCAGATTCGACTGCAGCTTGGCGTTATCGGTCTCGAGCTGCGAATTTTGTTCCTGAAGAACTCGGTTCTCGGCCTCGAGCACTTCGAGCTGGGCACGGAGCTTGGCAGCGTACTTTTCCCATCCTTTGCACTTGGTCGCCAGTTCGTAGTATTTGGCTGAAAAAGCGGCCTGAAGCGCATCGATGCCGATCGCCTGATCAGGCGTGCTGGGTGCATTTGTGATTCGAGTGGAGCGAAGGAAATCGTCATTGTATTTGCAAGACTGTTCGACATCGGAAGCTTGAACGTGCTGATACTGAAGCTGGGACTGATATTGATTCTGCTGAAGATGAGGCTGTGCTTGCTGCTGTTGTTGTTGCTGTTGTTGTTGTTGCTGTTGTTGTTGCTGTTGGTGTTGCTGTTGTTGTTGCTGTTGTTGTTGATGATGATGCGGCTGCGACTGCTGCTGAAATGCAACGATCTGAGTTCGCTTCTGCACGACAGCCGAGGAAGACGCCGATGACATCTGACTAGATGCACTGGAGATGTTGTCAGAGCTGGTAGGCAAGCCGACACTGACGGATGCCGGCGGCCTGGCATGCATCCTCCTAGAGGTATTGGTCTCGTGAGACAAGTCAGTCAGCTGTGTGACCTTTTGATCCGAGATGCTTGAAGGTATGGACGACGTCGAGGTGCTGGCTGAAGGAGCCCTTCTCATGAGAGACTCGGCTTCGTGCGAGATCGTGGAGGTTTGCTGTCTGTTCCTTTCGAGCTCTCTCTCTTTGCGAATCTGGGCGCGAAGCTCGGTGTAGGAGCCGGAACCGCCGTGAGAAGCTCGAGAATGTGATCGCATCAGCGTGTTGGTGGTAGTGGCGGCGGTGGTCGCATTTGTGACTGAGCTTGCCGCTGCAACGAGAGGTTTGCGGCTCATTGTGGGTCAGGCGATGAAGGCTGGGAAAAAGCTCACCAGAGCAGAAGGAGAGAGGACCAAATGCAAAAAGCAAAGAACAGGGCACGAGACGAGGCTGACGCTCTCAGTGTTTCGTTTCAGGAGGCGTAACCAGCGGGTGCAAGCCGATGATGAAGGAGCCGTCTCTACGATGAGCAAGATGACACGGCGGTCTAATTGGCGGCGCCAGGAATGCCCCGTGATGAATCGGAAAGATGTGCAGTTTCGTGTCGACAAGAGGCCGATGTGATGTCAGAGAGTCCGGAGCTGCGAAATGAAGAGAAGAGGAGGGGGTATCCTGGAGCCACTACCGGAGCTCAAGCGAAATCTTGTTTCTGCTATTTTTTCCCCCTTTCGGTCTTTCCTTGTTGTCTTCTGATCGTCCTGGCTGTCCGAGCTGCCTTGTTGCTCTTGCTCACGTCGATGCGAAGTGTGTGACAGGTGACGAGTCCGAAGCGACGCGGACCTGTTGTGGGGGAAGCACGAGATCAAACAAAATTGCTGTTTGCCTCTAGCACACGCTCCGATCTTACCACGACATTGAAGAGATGGGCGGTCGAGCTATGCACTGACAAAGTCTAGCTTCTCTATACTTTCGACCATGCAAATTCCATCGATTGGAAAGCGGTATTCTGTGCCAGCAAACGGTCAGTCCGCGTGTCCGAGCTGGAATGCAGCGAGACACAAAAGCTAGCAGGCAGTAGCCAAGAGAGGCTCGGTAAATGAAGAGTTCGACGTGGGAGAGGTCTTTCGTGCACGAAGCTGGTAATCGGCGGTTGCTCCAGAAGATAGGCTGCAGAAGCGGGACGGATGCACTCGATCGTCGTCGAGTCCGACTACTGTCGCCTTTACGGTGGATGCCGATTCACTTGAATTCGCTGGTCAGAGGGCTGCAAGTCGGGATGCACCGCTCAGGTTGGCGTTATGAAGTTTCGATTGGCTTAGCTGGGGTAATGCAAGCGTGTGATGGTGCTTTTGCAGGAGCTACGTTCCTTTGGTCGAAGAAGCGATGATCAAAGCTAGAGATTTGTCGCGACCGTGCTGATTGAGAACCGAAGGGGCAAAGGTCGAGAGAATGTGACAGGGAGCGAGAGGGACAGCGAAATTGTTCCGTACGATGAGCACAAAGGATAGCCCATTACCAGTATAAAGGGAACGCCCGCACAAGTGGAAAGGACTAAAGGCAAGAGCAATAGCCAGTGCACAGAAGCAGACTGGCAAAGAGACGGCATCGGTGTGCGCGAAGGTGCCACTCTCCCCCAGCCGAGACCAACACCGCCCGCCACTGCTCCCTAGTAGGAGATATAGCACCGGCACAGCGGCCACAAGCCAAGACCAATATGAGCAGCGGCTACCTAAGCACGCGGGAGACAGTCAGAGAATCAAAGACCTTCACTCGCTTGCACTTTTCCCGGTGCTGCCAATGCTGCTGCTGCTCCTGGTGGGGATGCTAAGTCTTCTGCTCCCGAGCGGATTTGATGTCGCGCAGTCG